GATGCTCATGGCATCAATCACTGAATTGTCTGGTCCAGACTTCATTATATACAGACTGCCGTCATATAGCTGGAGTATTGCTGAGTGCGGTGTTAAACAATAAATAAACTTTGGGGAGTCACTGTATGCTTGGATCCAGTCTTTTGGCTGTTTTGAAACCAATCAGTAGACATGTGTTTTGAATAATTCTGCATACAATGCAGTTTCAAGTGATGCAGTACTCTTAAGAGAAAACATGTACTGTCAACACTAGTGCCAATTGATGCCGCTGTACTTGCTACCCTTCCTGCCACTCAGCATCAAGGGATAAAACAAGGACTGGTCGTACTAGGATCAGTGTATATGTAGTGTCTGAATGTATCTATGTTAAACATTGGCATGGAATCTCAGTGGGGTATCCATGTTCAACTGTGGCATGGTATCTCAGTGGGGTATCCATGTTCAACTGTGGCATGGAATCTCAGTGGGGTATCCGTGTTAAACATTGGCATGGTGTCTGAGTTGGGAATCCATGTTAAACTGTGGCATGGTATCTGAGTGGGGTATCCATGTTAAACTGTGGCGTGGTATCTCAGTGGGGTATCCATGTTAAACTGTGGCATGGTATCTGAGTGGGGTATCCATGTTAAACTATGGCATGGTATCTGAGTGGGGTATCCATGTTAAACTGTGGCATGGTATCTGAGTTAGGAATCCATGTTAAACTGTGGCATGGTATCTGAGTGGGGTATCCATGTTAAACTGTGGCATGGTATCTGAGTTGGGTATCCATGTTAAACTGTGGCATGGTATCTGAGTTGGGTATCCATGTTAAACTGTGGCATGGTATCTCAGTGGAGTATCCATGTTAAACTGTGGGGTGGTATCTCAGTAGGGTATCCATGTTAAACTGTGGCGTGGTATCTCAGTGGGGTATCCATGTTAAACTATGGCATGGTATCTGAGTTGGGTATCCATGTTAAACTGTGGCATGGTATCTCAGTGGAGTATCCATGTTAAACTGTGGCATGGTATCTGAGTTGGGTATCCATGTTAAACTGTGGCATGGTATCTCAGTGGAGTATCCATGTTAAACTGTGGGGTGGTATCTCAGTGGGGTATCCATGTTAAACTGTGGCGTGGTATCTCAGTGGAGTATCCATGTTAAACTAGGGCATGGTATCTGAGTTGGGTATCCATGTTAAACTGTGGCATGGTATCTCAGTGGAGTATCCATGTTAAACTGTGGCATGGTATCTCAGTTGGGTATCCATGTTAAACTGTGGCATGGTATCTCAGTGGGGTATCCATGTTAAACTGTGGCATGGTATCTCAGTGGGGTATCCATGTTAAACTGTGGCATGGTATATCAGTGGGGTATCCATGTTAAACTGTGGCATGGTATCTCAGTAGGGTATCCATGTTAAACTGTGGCATGGTATCTCAGTAGGGTATCCATGTTAAACTGTGGCATGGTATCTCAGTGGGGTATCCATGTTAAACTGTGGCATGGTATCTCAGTGGAGTATCCATGTTAAACTGTGGCATGGTATATCAGTAGGGTATCCATATTAAACTGTGGCATGGTATCTGAGTGGGGTATCCATGTTAAACTGTGGCATGGTATCTGAGTGGGGTATCCATGTTAAACTGTGGCATGGTATCTGAGTGGGGTATCCATGCTAAACTGTGGCATGGTATCTCAGTAGGGTATCCATGTTAAACTGTGGCATGGTATCTCAGTGGGGTATCCATGTTAAACTGTGGCATGGTATCTGAGTGGGGTATCCATGTTAAACTGTGGCATGGTATCTCAGTGGGGTATCCATGTTAAACTGTGGCATGGTATCTCAGTGGGGTATCCATGTTAAACTGTGGCATGGTATCTCAGTAGGGTATCCATGTTAAACTGTGGCATGGTATATCAGTGGGTATCCATGTTAAACTATGGCATGGTATCTCAGTAGGGTATCCATGTTAAACTGTGGCATGGTATCTCAGTGGGTATCCATGTTAAACTGTGGCGTGGTATCTCAGTAGGGTATCCATGTTAAACTGTGGCATGGTATCTCAGTGGGTATCCATGTTAAACTGTGGCATGGTATCTCAGTAGGGTATCCATGTTAAACTGTGGCATTGTATCTCAGTGGGTATCCATGTTAAACTGTGGCGTGGTATCTCAGTGGGGTATCCATGTTAAACTGTGGCATGGTATCTCAGTGGGTATCCATGTTAAACTGTGGCATGGTATCTCAGTAGGGTATCCATGTTAAACTGTGGCATGGTATCTCAGTGGGGTATCCATGTTAAACTGTGGCATGGTATCTCAGTGGGTATCCATGTTAAACTGTGGCATGGTATCTCAGTAGGGTATCCATGTTAAACTGTGGCATGGTATCTCAGTGGGTATCCATGTTAAACTGTGGCATGGTATCTCAGTGGGTATCCATGTTAAACTGTGGCATGGTATCTCAGTAGGGTATCCATGTTAAACTGTGGCATGGTATCTCAGTGGGGTATCCATGTTAAACTGTGGCATGGTATCTCAGTGGGTATCCATGTTAAACTGTGGCATGGTATCTCAGTGGGGTATCCATGTTAAACTGTGGCATGGTATCTCAGTGGGGTATCCATGTTAAACTGTGGCATGGTATCTCAGTAGGGTATCCATGTTAAACTGTGGCATGGTATATCAGTGGGTATCCATGTTAAACTATGGCATGGTATCTCAGTAGGGTATCCATGTTAAACTGTGGCATGGTATCTCAGTGGGTATCCATGTTAAACTGTGGCGTGGTATCTCAGTAGGGTATCCATGTTAAACTGTGGCATGGTATCTCAGTGGGTATCCATGTTAAACTGTGGCATGGTATCTCAGTAGGGTATCCATGTTAAACTGTGGCATTGTATCTCAGTGGGTATCCATGTTAAACTGTGGCGTGGTATCTCAGTGGGGTATCCATGTTAAACTGTGGCATGGTATCTCAGTGGGTATCCATGTTAAACTGTGGCATGGTATCTCAGTAGGGTATCCATGTTAAACTGTGGCATGGTATCTCAGTGGGGTATCCATGTTAAACTGTGGCATGGTATCTCAGTGGGTATCCATGTTAAACTGTGGCATGGTATCTCAGTAGGGTATCCATGTTAAACTGTGGCATGGTATCTCAGTGGGTATCCATGTTAAACTGTGGCATGGTATCTCAGTAGGGTATCCATGTTAAACTGTGGCATGGTATCTCAGTGGGTATCCATGTTAAACTGTGGCATGGTATCTCAGTAGGGTATCCATGTTAAACTGTGGCATGGTATCTCAGTGGGGTATCCATGTTAAACTGTGGCATGGTATATCAGTGGGGTATCAATGTTAAACTGTGGCATGGTATCTGAGTGGGGTATCCATGTGAAACTGTGGCATGGTATCTCACTGTTTTTCATAACCCAAATCAGGAAAGTGCAAGGTGCACGTTTGAAAGGCTCAGGGAACACATTATTGGTCTGGAAATCACTATTGCGATAACTATTGATATTGCAAGCAGCTATTGCGATAACTATTGATATTGCAAGCAACTATTGCGATAACTATTGATATTGCAAGCAGCTATTGCGATAACTATTGATATTGCAAGCAGCTATTGCGATAACTATTGATATTGCAAGCAACTATTGCGATAACTATTGATATTGCAAGCAATTATTGCGATAACTATTGATATTGCAAGCAACTATTGCGATAACTATTGAAGAGTCCTTATTCACTTTTATGCCCATTGAAGTGTTACATTGGAGTCAGTATTTAGATATTTATGAAAAGACAAGGTGGCGGCATTTTTGACAAGTTTAAACATTCTTTTTTTCATCTTTGGACATGGGAAGATAATATCTGGCTCAGTTTGTTTAATTTTGACATGAAAACACTGATGGTACGCAGACATGTTGGGACGAACGAGGACAGACAAAACCTAAGTTTTCTTCATATAAATCTGTTTTAATTCATTTGCATTTCGGGTAGTGGGTACAACTTGCCACCCAAAATGGGATTAATACATGTGAATATATCAATGTCTTGAAACTCTTTCAAGGTTAAAAAAAAATCAAAAAGTGTTGGGACAAACGGAGACAGACATGATGCTTTAAAATAGCAATTTACAAGAAAAATTAAATGTTCCCTGAAGTATGGAATGAAACATTACAAGTACATTAAGATATAATCAAACAATTAAAGGTTAATTACAACTATTTAAGCAGCACAAGACAAATAAAAATCAGGGTTTTGTGTCGGGACGAACAAAGGACAGACATTTGTGATGTCGGGACGAACAAAGGACAGACATTTGTGATGTCAGGACGAACAAAGGACATACAAAGCAAAACAGGATAAAATACAGTCTGCAAACCACTTTTATTTCATATTCCAAATCATACTGTGTGACAAGTCACAAATTCTACAATGGTGATGACGATGTATCTCAAAATAATTTCTAACTGGTCTATAACCATGGAATATTTTTCAATATAAACAACCCAATAAGGCTGTCCCATCGCCGGAAAATAACAGCTGTTCATTATTTCTGAATTAAATCATATGCATATCAATAATATCTAATTTAGCATAAAAATTCATGAAGTATCATGCAATTATGTCTTCTTTACAACCAACTATAAATGTGTCTACTTTGTAAAAAAAAATGCTTGTGCCTCATGGTATGCCCGAAATATGTTCTAGAAGAAAATTCTTTTGTTTCTAGATATTATTTTGACATTAAGTTACTAATTAACACACCAGGGTAATTACATTGTAATGAAGTTGTAATATATAGTGATAACACATTCCATTACTGTATTAATACATAATTTCATTCCAAGTACAATTGTTTATCGGTAGACAAGATTCCCAACAGCCTGGAATGTGGTTTGGGGTTTTCCAGAAATTAATGTGGGCAGGGCAGGAAGATATTTTCTAAGACTCAGGGACCCCACACGCCCATCAAATTTTAAAACTATAATGCTGTCTGCAAGTTGTATATTAAAAATAACAGATTGTGGAATCTTGATATCCCCACCACTCATTAAATATTTTTAAATGTACATCCCAGCCCTCTCAAACATTCATTTAGGAATAACCCTTTATAATTTATATATTCAGTAACTGTTTGACAATTATTCATTGTACTGAATATTTTACAAACCACTTCAAATTGTTGATGAATTCAAAGTATTATCGCAAGACTTAATCAGGAAAAAACTGCGACACAATAAATTATTCCTAGGCAAAGCTGTACAATTGCTGCTATTTTGTATCCACATGAAAAATCATTTTAGAAAAATTAATTTAATTTAATTTAACTTTGAAAGTCTTCCACTGTGCAATTAAACATTAGCTATCCTGTATCTTGAATATTGTTTATCTCAATGACCAATATCAGTTTTGCCATACTCCTTTTTATGTTTATTCAGAAACTGGTTATTGGTGTCCTCTTGGTTCTTGATCTCGTAGTCCATTCTAAAGGTGGACAGGGCGTTAGTCATCTCCTGTATCAACAAGATATATATAATTGCATCACCAATAAAATGTTAAAAATTGAAGAACATTAACATACAAGGCAAGGCAATTCATAGTCCCTCATCGAAAGATAATAAGTCAATAATATATAGGTAAGGTGACCTACTTTAGTATGCTACACTTCACTTTTGCAAGATACACTTGTGCAACACATGGTAAAGTTTGGTGAAAATCGGTCCATTCATAGTGAATCTAATTTGCTATTTTGTTATTATCTATGTGCAGATGAAGATTATTGTTGAAATTGTTGTACAGCTCCAATGCACAGCACATGCTAACATATCTAACCATAAAAACAGTGTTTTCGGGGACTGTCCCTTTAAACAACATTATATTCATGACCAAAAACTTGAATTCTTTCAGTACAACAGTCAGAAATATGATGCAATATTTTGAGTTAGATAAAGTTCTATTAAATGTCCTACATCAAATAATGTCCAATCAATTGCTATTCTGACGTCTTCGAACATGACAGTGTGGTGGATGTCCTTTGCCAGCCATCTTTGTTTCACTTTAGTGAAAAAAGTCACCCATGGCCAATCATCCACCTGTTGAAATCAAAATTATAATATATAATATGTATTTGCTACTTCAACATGATTTCATAAGCAAGCTGCACAGTTTAATTTTATTGAAGGATTCACGAAAGCAGACTTTAGACAGAAGACTGAAAATGTAAATATTGCCCCATGAACAACCAGGTTAATTTTAGATGGGGCTGCCACAAACTCGGCCAACTTTTCATTTGAACCCAGACCCAAATTTCCTGTGGATTTTGAGTTCTAGACTTAACCACTTTGCCACAGTGGTTCTAATAAGCAAAATATAGACTGTATAACTGAATTTAATTGTGATCTAGGAAGTATCAAGACAAGTAATAATTGTAATTTACCATGCTTTTACCAAAGTGAAGCACATCCATATAGTAAATATAAATTTGAAGTTTTGTTTAATATCCAGGTGGTATTTTATTTTTAAGATTAATTTATTAAGCATAAATGAGATTTTGTAATGATATTGTGTATAATTACTTCCCTTTGGAGGATGTGAGTTTCCATTTTGTTAAAAACCAAAAGTATATTGTTGAGTCCAATGTGATCATACTGATAAACAGAGAAATGGACCCATCTATTAATCTACTACATATCGGACTATATATATTTCCCTTGTTGACTTGGAGTAACTCCATCTTGTTTTTATATTGGAAAACACAAAGTTAATTCTGAAGTTTGTTACCTGTCAACTTGTTCAGGATTCATCCGACCCCTATAATCAGCTTTTCGCTTTCGTTCCTGTTCGATGTAGTCTTGGTCACCTTTTTTCAGCTGCCTCCCATCGCCTACACCTCTCACCATTCTAATGAGACCAATAAGTACATTCATTAATTTACAATAAAGCAAAATGTTACCCTTAGCAATGCGTATTGCACTGTCAATAAACATATAGATCTATATTTTATTCATAAACAAACTAGGACAACACTTATATTCTGTTACGCCAAGCTAAAAAAACTGAAAAGGGGAGGGGGGAGATATTTGGATTTTTTATGAAATGTTCCCAGGATTAAGGAATAGGGAATTTTTTTATCATTATTTTTTTAATTTAAACTCACTTTTATAAAGCTTGATGTAGACCTACACACTTAAAATCCTAATCTAGGAAACGCACAATTAATTTTGTTCGGCCCTACTTTGAAAAATGTCAGCATTCAAATTAAAAAAACTATAATATAGTTTTGAATGAGTAATTTTTATATGGAGGTATAATTTTCTTTGAAACAGTACAGTTCTCAGGTTTTAATTTACAAAAAGTCATCCATCCTAACCTAAATTCATGTTCACATTTTTTCATGTCATTTATTGTTTTAACCCTTGTATGTAAATGTTTAACATGTTTTACATAGCCCCATGGAAGATTAAAGTAGCTCCAAGATATAAATGAGTCAATTAACTCTTTCAACACCAGTCAACCAGAAGTGTTTACTGCTGGGACACGATATAACTGGAATACTGTTAAAAGCGGCGTTAAACCCAACTCACTCACTCACTCACAAGTTCCCAGAGACTCTTGTGTGATAGATGAAGCCAACATTCATCAAAGAAGATATCTGCTTGTAAAATATATTTGCTGCTACATGTTATACATCAATTGAAAGGTCTGATCCTATAATCCTATATTTTATAAATATGAAAGTTATGTTTTTCACATTATTTAAAATAATGCATAAGTTTGTTGTAAATAAATAAAATGTAAGCTAACACGTAGTTAACATCCAGATTAAGGACCAAGGAAGCGTAAACTTGACGATTTTCGGCAAATATAAGATTTCATAAAATCCACTTACCCATTTCTGTTTTATTTTCATTGTTTACGTAATTGGAAAATCATTTTAAAAAGAATTATAAATAGTTTCTGTCATCACCCATTTCCCGATAACAGCGGCTGTCCGCTCAGTAACATGAAGAAATACCCCCGTTTTCGAGACTTCGTATGAATAACACGTTCGTTGAAGAATGGCATATGACACATCGCTGGAAAGCTTATTCCTCCATCTACACGCTCGTAACATGGTCTGGTTTTTGTTCCGTAGTTATAACAATCGATGTCATTGGAATAAAATTGGTTTCTTATGAGGCTTTCTTGCCGAAATCTGCTACAAGGTTCGCGATTAGCCAAATTTGAGCACGTGACCTAAGGCAGCCAATCAAATTACAGCTGTGATAACAAGTTCGTGTTTGATAATTTTCAGAAGTTGACGAAAGATTTTCGTTAAATCGTATTATTCTGAACGTTTTAAGCAGGAAATCATGATATATATTAAAAATATGGAACTTCGTGAATGCATCGTGCTAGGTTATGAGCTGTGACAAAGATTTTTCATGCATATATTTTGGCATTAAACATTGTGTCCGAGCCGAGAATTCAAGGCGATGAAAGCCGAGATGTCATTTGACTTGCATTACACGCGATACACGAACATATGGAAATAATAACCCATCTATGTAAGTTTGATTACTTTTATATATATTTTTGTTGATTTTATTTATTACTTTGTATAATATATTTAAAGTTTGTTTAAAACGTCTATATTTTGCTCTTTGACATGTTCGATGTGGACCCGTTGTGCGATAATTTTATTTTCAATAACATCACGGAAAATAGTGAATACTTTTTTAATTTATCGATGTAAAATGATAAATTGAAAAGGAATACGTATTTCCGACATTGTCAAATGTGATAGATTAAATAAATGAATGATATTACAGGTAGGTCCATAAAAATATATACTATTTTGCCCGACCGAAGTCGTCTGTCTACCAGTTTGTCCGACCGTCAGATAATATGTCCACTTGTTACGACCGACAATAAAATGTCTGTCTCAATGTTATGCCCGAACGAAGTAAGTCTGTCCAACTTTTTCTATGCGAGGCTTTGCGCAAAGCTTGTTCTTATTCATAGTGCGAAGCAAACTCTAGTAGTCGTGTTTAATTGTGTGTTTGAATTACTTTTCTAAAGTACTTGTGGCCGAACTGGTGAAAACTTGAACTATCGTATATAAATCGACTAATTCAATGTTCGCCCGTAACATTGGGTCGCCTGTAACATTTACACTTACCGAGACAGACGTGGAAGCATCCTTCTTCTTTGGCGCCATCTCTGCTGCTGACCAAATTTCGGCAATCATGTAATTCGTATCATGTGGAAACCAACCGGAACTTGGCAAATCCGATGACGGAATATAAACCAGATGACGTGTAGCGATCAGAAAAGTTAAATTATGATCGACAATTCGCCCGTAACAGTGGGACAGAGTTTTCTATAGACGTTTATGATTTGCATTTATTTTCTGTGGTTGCAAACCTGTTTTGATTTCATGTTTAGGTTTAACATACATTGATCACCAACTTTCATTCTGCTTCCGAAGTAACTTTCTGTGGTTTCACAATTCGTTACAAAATGATGTTTTTGTTCACCACCCATCGAGGACAGACATTGTTACGTCCGACACTTGTCAAATTAATTGTACATTTGTATTAATTTTATTTTTTTTTTCAATTTTTTTTTTATTGAAATCTGTTAAAGTACAAAGGTACCTGTTACATTCTGTTAAAATCGTACATTATTATTGAACTGAATGTGGAATACAGCCTACAGATTGGAGGTATGCACAGACATGTAACAAACAGAACTCAGAAAACACACTTGTTTTAATTTAAAAATTCTTTTATTTAATTTATATACATTGTTTAAAAAGCTCAAAATATGTTTACTATCTCCAAAATTCATGATGTATCCAATGTAGTTCAGATTTTGCAGATACTCTCCTTGGAATTAAATTTACAACTGTTTGAAATTCATAGGTATCAAAGTGGGCACTCTAGTGAATAAGGACTCTGATATTGAAAGAAACTATTGCGATAACTATTGATATTGCAAGCAACTATTGCGATGCATATCGATAGTTTTCAGTATATCATTTAGATGGATTTTAGAGTTGAATTAAACCTTGGAACTGAAGCTTCCTTTGAATGTGATAACAATAACAACAAATAAAAAGTAAACTTTGAGATATGACTGATTTGTTTCTTCTTTACCCTAATAATTTAAGAAAAAGACACTTCCACATTACCATATGTAAATTACTACCACTCATGATCAAAAGAAATTCAAATTTGAACAGCATTGCATGTATTTTTATTGATATGGTAAATGCAATCGAAACTATCGATATTCCTTACTGAAATCGATACTATTGATCGGAAACTGATTTAATAATCGATTTATTGACTTTAAGTGCTAACCAATTGCAATATATCGATAGTTTGATTTATCGTGACACCCCTAGCCGACTCACACAGTGTTTTCAAAGTTGAGCATAGAGTTCCTGAATATCTTTCAAAATACATTCAACAAAACAAGGTTTTTAAGCATTTTAGGTGCCGTAAATGTTGGACATGGTTTAAGTATGTTAGACCACCCCAGTGTCTTATCGTTGAAATGGTTTATCAAACCGCTTGGCACTGCGTGCCTCGTGGTTTAACTAACCATTTCAAGGATTAGACACTGGGTCCTCGTGGACTAACCTATACAAAAACAGCATTAGTCCAGACTCATTCCCTAACTCGCTCACACGCATGCATGCATGCATGCATACAGGTGCATGCATACACGTCGCTGTGTAAGTGCAATAATCTGGAAAACCTTCAGTGAATTGATTCACATCTCAATGCACAGGAAACCTTCAGTAAATTGATTCACATCTCAATGCACAGGAAACCTTCAGTAAATTGATTCACATCTCAATGCACAGGAAACCTTCAGTGAATTGATTCACATCTCAATGCACAGGAAACCTTCAGTAAATTGATTCACATCTCAATGCACAGGAAACCTTCAGTGAATTGATTCACATCTCAATGCACAGGAAACCTTCAGGAAATTGATTGACATCTCAATGCACAGGAAACCTTCAGTGAATCTGTCCATGGTAAATTTTGTTTGTGTGAAGAATAGTGGAAAATTGGTTGAAACTTTGAGTTCAAGTTAGTCTGCTGAAAGTAGAGTTGCTTTCCTGGTTCAGTTTATTCAGGTGATGATTTTGTGATGATTTAATGGTGAAGATTTTGTGTTTGTTGTTTCAGATCATCTTGTTGCTCATGGGAGAATGAATGAAAAAGAAGCACGAAAAAAATTCAAACAGATTGTTGCTGCAGTGTCGTACTGCCACTGTCGTCAAATTGTCCACAGGGATCTCAAAGCTGAAAACCTACTGCTGGACGCAAACCTCAATATCAAAATAGCTGGTAGGTGCATTCTACTGCTGGACGCAAACCTCAATATCAAAATAGCTGGTAGGTGCATTGTACTGCTGGATGCAAACCTCAATATCAAAATAGCTGGTAGGTGCATTCTACTGCTGGACGCAAACCTCAATATCAAAATAGCTGGAAGGTGCATTCTACTGCTGGACGCAAACCTCAATATCAAAATAGCTGGTAGGTGCATTGTACTGCTGGACATAAACCTCAGTATCAAAATAGCTGGTAGGTGCATTCTACTGCTGGACATAAACCTCAGTATCAAAATAGCTGGTAGGTACATTCTACTGCTGGACATAAACCTCAATATCAAAATAGCGTGTAGGTGCGTTCTACTGCTGGACATTAACCTCAATATCAAAATAGCTGGTAGGTGCATTCTACTGCTGGACGCAAACCTCAATATCAAAATAGCTGGTAGGTGCTTTGTACTGCTGGATGCAAACCTCAATATCAAAATAGCTGGTAGGTGCATTCTACTGCTGGACGCAAACCTCAATATCAAAATAGCTGGTAGGTGCATTCTACTGCTGGACATAAACCTCAGTATCAAAATAGCTGGTAGGTGCTTTGTACTGCTGGACACAAACCTCAATATCAAAATAGCTGGTAGGTGCATTCTACTGCTGGACATAAACCTCAGTATCAAAATAGCTGGTAGGTGCATTCTACTGCTGGACATAAACCTCAATATCAAAATAGCTGGTAGGTGCATTCTACTGCTGGACGCAAACCTCAGTATCAAAATAGCTGGTAGGTGCTTTGTACTGCTCGACGCAAACCTCAATATCAAAATAGCTGGTAGGTGCATTCTACTACTGGACGCAAACCTCAATATCAAAATAGCTGGTAGGTGTTTTCTACTGCTGGATGCAAACCTCAATATCAAAATAGCTGGTAGGTGCTTTGTACTGCTGGATGCAAACCTCAATATCAAAATAGCTGGAAGGTGCATTCTACTGCTGGACACAAACCTCAATATCAAAATAGCTGGTAGGTGCATTCTACTGCTGGACATAAACCTCAATATCAAAATAGCTGGTAGGTGCATTCTACTGCTGGACATAAACCTCAATATCAAAATAGCTGGTAGGTGCATTCTACTGCTGGACATAAACCTCAATATCAAAATAGCTGGTAGGTGCTTAATACTGCTGGACGCAAACCTCAATACCAAAATAGCTGGTAGGTTCATTCTACTACTGGAGGCAAACCTCAAAATCAAAATAGCTGGTAGGTGCATTCTACTGCTGGACGCAAACCTCAGTATCAAAATAGCTGGTAGGTGCATTCTACTGCTGGACGCAAACCTCAGTATCAAAATAGCTGGTAGGTGCTTTGTACTGCTGGACGCAAACCTCAATATCAAAATAGCTGGTAGTTGCTTTGTACTGCTGGACACAAACCTCAATATCAAAATAGCTGGTAGGTGCATTCTACTGCTGGACGCAAACCTCAGTATCAAAATAGCTGGTAGGTGCTTTGTACTGCTGGACACAAACCTCAATATCAAAATAGCTGGTAGGTGCATTCTACTGCTGGACGCAAACCTCAGTATGAAAATAGCTGGTAGGTGCTTTGTACTGCTGGACGCAAACCTCAATACCAAAATAGCTGGTAGGTTCATTCTACTACTGGACGCCAACCTCAATATCAAAATAGCTGGTAGGTGTTTTCTACTGCTGGACGCAAACCTCAATACCAAAATAGCTATTAGGTGTTTTCTACTGTGTAGACCTAAATTAACAATCAGACCTGTCAAAATAGCAGAAATATCATCATTTCCTGGAAGAATTGGAATTTGTTAATTACAAACAGTTGAGCTTGTACTCAGGGTTTTTGATTGCTTTTTAAAAATAGGAAATACTCACAGCTGATTGGCTACTGTGTAGTCACGTCAGTTATGCATTGTGACAACGCTCTATAAATAGACAGTGGAAATTCCAAGTTTCTATTTTATGTAAGTTTTTTCAGTCACGTAATTCTGAACGTTTGTAGATTTATTTTATTTAAAACAAGCAGAGTAAAGGTCAGTATTTTCTTTATCAGCAGTAGAAATTAAAATTATTAGTCAACTAGTCCTTATAATGATAACATAGAAAAACCCTTAAATTGGCAAATTTTAACTGGGACCTATGACACCGTTACTATTGGGCAGTTTGGCAAGGACTATAGGACTGGTGCCAATTTCAAACACTGTATCTAATATTGTAAATGCTCAGTCTGAATTTTGATTTTTTGGGACCCATGAAGATCCGGGATAGAATAGGTCTTCAGCAACCCATGCTTGCCGTAAAAGGCGACTATGCTTGTCGTAAAAGGCGACTTATGGGACAGGGTGGTCAGGCTCGCTGACTTGGTTGATGCATGTCATCGTATCCCAATTACGTGGATCGATGCTCATGATATTAATCACTGGATTGACTGGTCCAGATTTGATTTTTTACAGACCGCCTTCATATAGCTGGAATATTGCTGAGTGCGGCGTTAAACAACAAACCAACCAACCAACCGTAGCGAATTTGCAGGAATTATGCGTCCGTAAAACAATGTTACTGGTGGTATTGGTTGTCACACTAAAGTCCCTCCTGTTTCGAGTGAGGGGCGGTGAGGTTGCCTGTGGTTAAAGCATTCGCTCGTCACACTGAAGGCCTGGGTTCGATTCCTCGCATGGGTACAATGTGTAAAACCCATTTCTGGTGTCCCCCGCCGTGATATTGCTGGAATATTGCTCAAAGTGGCGTAAAACCATACTCACTCACTGTTTCAAGTAACGACTGGAATGTGGATCAGTTGGACACAATGGCAACTGCATGTCCAGAAAAAACTGGAGGATTGCTCGTTGGGAACGGATCATCTTTGCCCGATCCATTTCTCTTCATCTGCATGACATGACATTGGTGGGGACAACTAAACAACCCTCACTTGCATGTTGGTTGCAGGAATTGTCTCCCTTCACCTGGCTCCCCAAAACGACTATTTCTGAGTGTTATTTATGCACAGTTAATGATGTTTGGGATACTTGTAGGGATGTTATCTGTGTATCGAGGTACATTTTATGTCGATGCTCAATTACTCCATTAATTATTTTGAGAAATGATGACATTTATTAAATTCACTATTGTTAACATGGTCAATGAGACAATTTTATTTTGAATATTTAACGGATCAGCCTTTTTCATAGTTCTTTTGGTTTTTTAAAAATATTTTTTATTCAATTCAGTATATGACATTACAGAGTTATACATGGAGTAGCACGTCTTGTAGCATACTTGTTAGGTATAGGTTACCTATACAGCAGACAGCAGGTCAGCAAGTTTAAGTTCGCTACAGGTGTCCATCAAAGTTTACAAATGGTGAAAACGGGCAAATATTTGCTTTTTCATAGTTAGCATTAAATTGATTAATTGCAAGTCTACAGGTCATACTTATCTATACACATACAGAATAATCTGATTACTAATCAGTACGTATTGATATTTCGTGACATGTTTTTGTCCAACAAATCAATGAGGCCCCTACTTGTATTAGTATGAAGTATATCGCTTTTCTTCGTGGTCACAGCACAGCTCGACTGAGAAATGCTTTGATGATTTTTTTGTTGTAAACATGGTAAATCTACGGTTGCATCATGATTATGGAAAAGTTCATCAAGAAGAGAAGTCAAACGGTCAAGATATCGTCAAACACAAAGTGCTTTCATCTCCTGTTTTTGAAAGGTTTCATTTGATTTTGTCCATAATGTACAGCCAGTGTTTTGAAATATTGAATGCCATGTTAAATATCGATTTTGAAATCTCCCTGGTTACCATGGTTACAGATTTTGGGTTCAGCAACTACTTCTCACCTGGGACAAAACTGAAGACCTGGTGTGGCAGTCCCCCCTATGCTGCCCCGGAACTGTTTGAGGGGAGGGAATATGATGCCCCTAAGGTGGACGTCTGGGTGAGTAGTTTGTCCCCCCTATGCTGCCCCAGAACTGTTTGAGGGGAGGGAATATGATGCCATAAGGTGGACGTCGGGTGAGTAGTTTATCCCCCCTATGCTGCCCCAGAACTGTTTGAGGGTAGGGAATATGATGCCATAAGGTGGACGTCGGGTGAGTAGTTTATCCCCCCTATGCTGCCCTGGAACTGTTTGAGGGTAGGGAATATGATGCCATAAGGTGGACGTCGGGTGAGTAGTTTGTCCCCCCTATGCTGCCCCGGAACTGTTTGAGGGGAGGGAATATGATGCCCCTAAGGTGGACATCTGGGTGAGTAGTTTGTCCCCCCTATGCTGCCCCAGAACTGTTTGAGGGGAGGGAACATGATGCTGTAAGGTGGACGTCTGGGTGAGTAGTTTGTCCCCCCTATGCTGCCCCAGAACTGTTTGAGGGGAGGGAACATGATGCTGTAAGGTGGACGTCTGGGTGAGTAGTTTGTCCCCCCTATGCTGCCCCGGAACTGTTTGAGGGGAGGGAACATGATGCCCCTAAGGTGGACATCTGGGTGAGTAGTTTGTCCCCCCTATGCTGCCCCAGAACTGTTTGAGGGGAGGGAACATGATGCTGTAAGGTGGACGTCTGGGTGAGTAGTTTGTCCCCCCTATGCTGCCCCAGAACTGTTTGAGGGGAGGGAACATGATGCTGTAAGGTGGACGTCGGGTGAGTAGTTTGTCCCCCCTATGCTGCCCCGGAACTGTTCGAGGGGAGGGAATATGATGCCATAAGGTGGACGTCTGGGTGAGTAGTTTGTCCCCCCTATGCTGCCCCGGAACTGTTCGAGGGGAGGGAATATGATGCCATAAGGTGGACGTCTGGGTGAGTAGTTTGTCCCCCCTATGCTGCCCCGGAACTGTTTGAGGGGAGGGAATATGATGCTGTAAGGTGGACATCTGGGTGAGTAGTTTGTCCCCCCTATGCTGCCCCGGAACTGTTTAAGGGGAAGGAGAAAGATGTCCCTAAGATGGACAGACGTCTTGGTGAGTAGTTTGTCCCCCCTATGCTGCCCCGGAACTGTTTGAGGGGAGGGAACATGATGCCATAAGGTGGACGTCTGGTGAGTAGTTTGTCCCCCCTATGCTGCCCCGGAACTGTTTGAGGGGAGGGAATATGATGCCCTTAAGGTGGATGTCTGGGTGAGTAGTTTGTCCCCCCTATGCTGCCCCGGAACTGTTCGAGGGGAGGGAATATGATGCCATAAGGTGGACGTCTGGGTGAGTAGTTTGTCCCCCCTATGCTGCCCCGGAACTGTTTGAGGGGAGGGAATATGATGCCATAAGGTGGACGTCTGGTGAGTAGTTTGTCCCCCCTATGCTGCCCCGGAACTGTTTGAGGGGAGGGAATATGATGCCCTTAAGGTGGATGTCTGGGTGAGTAGTTTGTCCCCCCTATGCTGCCCCGGAACTGTTTGAGGGGAGGGAATATGATGCTGTAAGGTGGACGTCGGGTGAGTAGTTTATCCCCCCTATGCTGCCCTGGAACTGTTTGAGGGTAGGGAATATGATGCCCCTAAGGTGGACATCTGGGTGAGTAGTTTGTCCCCCCTATGCTGCCCCGGAACAGTTTAAGGGGAAGGAGAAAGATGTCCCTAAGATGGACAGACGTCTTGGTGAGTAGTTTGTCCCCCCTATGCTGCCCCGGAACTGTTTAAGGGGAGGGAACATGATGCTGTAAGGTGGACGTCTGGGTGAGTAGTTTGTCCCCCCTATGCTGCCCCGGAACTGTTTAAGGGGAGGGAACATGATGCTGTAAGGTGGACGTCTGGGTGAGTAGTTTGTCCCCCCTATGCTGCCCCGGAACTGTTTAAGGGGAGGGAACATGATGCTGTAAGGTGGACGTCTGGGTGAGTAGTTTGTCCCCCCTATGCTGCCCCGGAACTGTTTAAGGGGAGGGAACATGATGCTGTAAGGTGGACGTCTGGGTGAGTAGTTTGTCCCCCCTATGCTGCCCCGGAACTGTTTAAGGGGAAGGAGAAAGATGTCCCTAAGATGGACAGACGTCTTGGTGAGTAGTTTGTCCCCCCTATGCTGCCCCGGAGCTATTTCAGGGGAGGGAATATGATGCCCCTAAGATGGACGTCTGGTGAGTAGTTTGTCCCCCCTATGCTGCCCCCGAACTGTTTGTGGGGAGGGAAAATGATGCCATAAGGTGGACGTCTGGTGAGTAGTTTATCCCCCCTATGCTGCCCCAGAACTGTTTGTGGGGAGGGAAAATGATGCCATAAGGTGGATGTCTGGGTGAGTAGTTTGTCCCCCCTATGCTGCTCCGGAACAGTTTGAGGGGAGGGAATATGATGCCGTAAGATGGATGTCTTGTAGAAGGTGTTATTTCACTTGAGTGAATTATTGATATTTCTGTAGGTAAATATCATTTTCATCACTAATTGTATAATATATGCTGTATACCCAACTCACCTGCTCCCTGTATACTTCCAGAGTCTCGGGGTGGTCCTGTATGTACTTGTGTGTGGTGCTCTGCCATTTGATGGCAGCACGCTGCAGTCGCTGCGATCTCGGGTGCTCAGCGGCAAATTCCGCATTCCATTTTTCATGTCTACAGGTGAGTGCTGTGGCCACTTGGTTCATCCGTGTTTGATTTCGACAGTTTGGTAATTTTTAATAGTTTTTGTATTAAAGTCCAGAGTTTAATTTCGGATTAGTTTTGGTCCAAAAAGGTGGTGGCCCTGGGCTTAAAACATGCATTTCCGGTTCTAAAATTTCTGGGGGCACCGGTGGCCCAGTCGTCTAAGGCGCCGCGATTCGCTGTGCAGAGTTGTGTCCTCTGGGCATGCCAGAAACATATGATTGTAGGTTCGAATCCCAGTTCGCCCTGATTATGTAGAAATTTCTAGGTTTGTCAGCACTATACCCGTGCTCGTGGGTTTCACCGAAGTGGTAAATGTCTGAGACCTGCATCACTTCGGGCTTTCCTCGCACATTAAGCTGACCTGCCGTCATATAACTGGAATGCTGTTAAAAGCGGGGTTAAACCCAAGTCACTCACTCACTCACTCCAAGTCCAGTAAACTGTGGACACCACTGTGGACCAACTCACTCACTCTAAAATTTCTGTAACATCAGCAATGATTCTACATTTTCAGAAACCCAAGTTTGCTCTTTATCATAATGTTCCTGTTGCCTTAAGGGAACACAAATCATAATTGTTCAAGAATATACCTTGTGTCAGTTGTGATGATGTGAACCAGTTAGAAAGGTTCCTTTTCAAATGAAATGTCAACAAACCTGGTAAGTTAATGACATTCCAAGAAAGAACAAATTTCACATGGGACCAAGCAGAGTTGCGTCCCTTGGACACGCCAGAAACCTATGATTGTGGCTTCCAATCCCGGTTTGCCCCGATCCTGTTTCTTGGTTTGTCAGCACCATACCCGTGCTCGTGGGTTTCACTGAAGTGGTAAAGTCTGAGACCTGCATCACTTGGGGCTTTCCTCCCACATTAAGCTGACACGCCACGATATAACTGGAATGCTGTTAAAAACGGCGTCAAACCCAACTCACTCACTCTAAAATTTCTGTAACATCAGCAATGATTCTACATTTTTAGAAACCCAAGTTTGCTCTTTATCATAATGTTCCTGTTCCCTAAAGGGAACACTTAAAATCATAATTGGTCAAGAATATACCTTGTGATGATGTGAACCAGTTAGAAAGGTTCCTTTACAAATGAAATGTGGACAAACCTGGTAAGTTAATGAAATTCCAAGAAAGGACAAATTTCACATGGGACCAAGCATTTAAGTGATGGACCTCCTCACATTCAAATTAGATCAAATTATTAACTTTTGTTATTTATATTTAAATTTGAATTACGAAAAATAAGCATCTTATAAGCATAAGGACTTATTTACTGTTTGCCTTTGCATGGCTAGAATGTTACTTACTGCATTTGACGTAATAAGCACCCAGGGCACTCTCAAAATTAGAAATAGGAGGCTCTTATTAGAACATAATTTTGGTGAGAAAAAACCCATTTTAATCAATTACAGGACATTCGAAATGTTTTGTGGGTACAAACAAGTGTTTAGTTCCTCTTTTCAAACCCAACATATACCGTATTCGACGTAATGAGCGCTCAGGGTGCTCTCAAAATTAGAAATAGGGGGCTGTTATTCAAACATAATTTTGGTGAAAAAAAAACAGTTGAAAGATCGTAAATTTCGTGGTTTATGCTGACAGCCTGAAATGATACACAAAAAAGTATGTGCATATTATACACGACAGATATATTTTCCAGAATTTAATTGCCCGTAATTAAGGGTGCATGTAACACATGTGTGCGTATTACACACGAATAAATACGTCTTGTGTACATTGATCAATCGGAAGGGGTGCTAATTGGGATTGTTCACTAGCCAATATATTAGCAAATATCATCGTGGGCGCTTATTAGAGCGAGGCGCTTGTTACGTCAAATAAGGTAAGCATCAAAAGATATTGATTGATCTTACCCCTTGCTGACAACAGACTGACTGTTGTATGTTTATCATGGTAACCCAATGATGTGGGACGTTGCTCATATTATCAATCACTGGTTTGTCTAGTCCAGATTTATTTACTGTTTGCCTTTGCATGGTTAGAATTTTGGTTACCGCATTTGACGTAATAAGCCCAGGGCGCTCTCAAAATTAGAAAGAGGGGGCTCTTATTTGAACATAATTTTGGTGAGAAAAAAACGCGGTTGAAAGATTGTAAATTTTGTGGTTTATGCTGACAGCCTGAAATGATACAAAAGAAAAGTCTGCATATTATACACGATAGTTGAACCAATCAACTCAACTCGAAAAGGTGCACGGGAATCACGCACATTGAGACGCCCAACACTAACACGGTATTGGTGCGGGCGTGGTTCCCGTGCACCCTTTCGAGTTGAGTTGATTGGTTCAACTGTGTCGTATGACCCTGTGACGCAGGGGTAGCATTATGCAGATGGCTGTTTCAATGAATGCTCGTTCCAACCGTGACGAACAGGTCTGGTTGTTGATGAAATATATTAATAGCTAAATGGACAGATTTTTTATTCATGCACCGATTGTCTTTAAATGTAATATCCAGTTATGTATGACTGTTTAATAATCTCATACTTTTTTGACTGGAGTAGGTCCAATAGTGTTTCAGATATTGTAGTAAACGTCAATACCTTAAATTACCTTCCAGACTATATGGGCAGATCATTTTATACATGTATCTAAATTGTTTTTGCCTGGGTTCCTGTAAAACAATTTCCAATCAGACATTGTTTACCCAGCCCTTAGGATCTACAGTGAGTACCTGGATAGGGTCGGGTAATAGACAGTTAGGTACTCAGCAAAGTTTGACTCATCCCAGCCCCAGTTAATTACAAGATTTGACAAATTTGTAAAGCCCTTTGCTGGAGCAAAATATGTGACCCATTCTCATTCCATCTCAGAGTGTGAACACTTAATCCGGCACATGCTGATTGTTGATGCCAACAAGCGGCTGTCGGTGGACCAGATTGTTACCCACAAGTGGATGAAGCTCGGCGACGTGGACGTGGAGTTTCACGAGATGATCCAGGAGTACAACCAAGTCACGGACCTCGACCCACACCATGCTGTCCCACCCAACCCCCAGATCCTGCAGTATATAGAGGAGCTCGGCTTCGACAAGGAGAGGACCTTGAAGGTGGGGTTGTAGGGGGTTAACGTTGGGGATCACCCAACCCCCAGATCCTGCAGTATATAGAGGAGCTGGGCTTAGACAAGGAGAGGACCTTGAAGGTGGGGTTGTAGGGGGTTAACGTTGGGGATCACCCAACCCCAGATCCTGCAGTATATAGAGGAGCTGGGCTTCGACAAGGAGAGGACCTTGAAGGTGGGGTTGTAGGGGGTTAACGTTGGGGATCACCCAACCCCAGATCCTGCAGTATATAGAGGAGCTCGGCTTAGACAAGGAGAGGACCTTGAAGGTGGGGTTGTAGGGGGTTAACGTTGGGGATCACCCAACCCAAATCCTGCAGTACAGAGAGGAGCTGGGCTTTGACAAGGAGAGGACCTTGAAGGTGGGGTTGTAGGGGGTTAACGTTGGGGATCACCCAACCCCAGATCCTGCAGTATAGAGATGAGCTGGGCTTTGACAAGGAGAGGACCTTGAAGGTGGGGTTGTAGGGGGTTAAACGTGAGGGATCACCCAACCCCAGATCCTGCAGTATATAGAGGAGCTGGGCTTCGACAAGGAGAGGACCTTGAAGGTGGGGTTGTAGGGGGTTAACGTTGGGGATCACCCAACCCCCAGATCCTGCAGTATATAGATGAGCTGGGCTTTGACAAGGAGAGGACCTTGAAGGTGGGGTTGTAGGGGGTTAACGTTGGGGATCACCCAACCCCAGATCCTGCAGTATTTAGAGGAGCTGGGCTTCGACAAGGAGAGGACCTTGAAGGTGGGGTTGTAGGGGGTTAACGTTGGGGATCACCCAACCCCAGATCCTGCAGTATATAGATGAGCTGGGCTTTGACAAGGAGAGGACCTTGAAGGTGGGGTTGTAGGGGGTTAACGTTGGGGATCACCCAACCCCAGATCCTGCAGTATTTAGAGGAGCTGGGCTTCGACAAGGAGAGGACCTTGAAGGTGGGGTTGTAGGGGGTTAACTTTCTACACATCTACACATGTTATATAAAACTACAAGGTTGTGAACTGCTTGTAATGAAGCTGAGTAAGGGAGATAACTCTAAATGGCTTGGGTATCCAAAAGTTTCAGAGGACAATGACATGCAAGATGAAACAGTTTTTCTTGATTCACCTCTTTCTTCATATAAATATAATTCACTCAATCACTCCATGTTTCAGTCTGTGCTTGAGCAGTGCTTCGACCATCACAGTGCAATTTACCATCTACTCCTGGAGAAGTACAAGAAACATCCAAAGACACTCACCAGCAAACTCCCCAGTATCATTCTGCCCCAGAACTTGCCCATAGCGACGCGGACGGAGAGAAGGTCCAGCATCACCACTGGTGTGGGTGAGTAGTGATGACCCCTCTAGGGTTCCAGCATCACCCCGGGTGTGGGTGAGTAGTGATGCCTCCTCTAGGGTTCCAGCATCACCCCGGGTGTGGGTGAGTAGGGATGCCTCCTCTAGGGTTCCAGCATCACCCTGGGTGTGGGTGAGAAGGGATGCCTCCTCTAGGGTTCCAGCATCACCCCGGGTGTGGGTGAGTAGGGATGCCTCCTCTAGGGTTCCAGCATCACCCCGGGTGTGGGTGAGTAGTGATGCCTCCTCTAGGGTTCCAGCATCACCCCGGGTGTGGGTGAGTAGTGATGCCCCTCTAGGGTTCCAGCATCACCCCGGGTGTGGGTGAGTAGGGATGCCTCCTCTAGGGTTCCAGCATCACCCTGGGTGTGGGTGAGTAGTGATGCCTCCTCTAGGGTTCCAGCATCACCCCGGGTGTGGGTGAGTAGTGATGCCCCTCTAGGGTTCCAGCATCACCCCGGGTGTGGGTGAGTAGGGATGCCTCCTCTAGGGTTCCAGCATCACCCTGGGTGTGGGTGAGTAGTGATGCCTCCTCTAGGGTTCGAGCATCACCCTGGGTGTGGGTGAGTAGGGATGCCTCCTCTAGGGTTCCAGCATCACCCCGGGTGTGGGTGAGTAGTGATGCCCCTCTAGGGTTCCAGCATCACCCCGGGTGTGGGTGAGTAGGGATGCCTCCTCTAGGGTTCCAGCATCACCCCGGGTGTGGGTGAGTAGTGATGCCTCCTCTAGGGTTCGAGCATCACCCTGGGTGTGGTTGAGTAGGGATGCCTCCTCTAGGGTTCCAGCATCACCCTGGGTGTGCAGTGATGACCCCTCTAGGGTTCCAGCATCACCCTGGGTGTGGGTGAGTAGTGATGACCCCTCTAGGGTTCCAGCATCACCCCGGGTGTCGGTGAGTAGTGATGACCCCTCTAGGGTTCCAGCATCACCCCGGGTGTGGGTGAGAAGTGATGACCCCTCTGTGATCTCATATTATCTAGATGTGATCTTATTGTCAAGATGTGATCTTATTGTCAGGATGTGATCTTCTTGTCTAGATGTGATCTTATTGTCTAGATGTGATCTTATTGTCAAGATGTGATCTTATTGTCAAGATGTGGTCTTATTGTCAAGATGTGATCTTATTGTCTAGATGTGATCTTATTGTCAAGATGTGATCTTATTGTCAAGATGTGATCTTATTGTCAAGATGTGATCTTGTCAAGATGTGGTCTTATTGTCAAGATGTGGTCTTATTGTCAAGATGTGATCTTATTGTCAAGATGTGATCTTATTGTCAAGATGTGGTCTTATTGTCAAGATGTGGTCTCTGTGTTTCAGTGGAGCGAGTGGAGGTGCCTGTCGAGGTCCATGAAGGGGAGAGGGCGTCGCCTCAACCCCCAACCACCCTACCCCTCCTAGCTGCTCATCTAAGTGCCATTACCCAAGTGCAATTTAACAACGACAAGAATCAACTCTCAGCTGTGAGTAAAACAACAACAAAATATATAAAAATGACCATGTTTTACCAAAAGGTTTAATTGTTGGCTTGACAATGTAAGCGTTATCTGATCCTGCCACAGAAAAGGATGTGTGTTTGGAAGTCTGGAGAATAAATTAAAATACAAATCCAACTCAAGTCTAGAATGATTTGGCAAGTCTAGATTGCCCCAGCTCCAGGCCAGATTGTTCTGGGCTCCATTTGCATTTTACTTTATATATCTTGTAGAGATATATTTTTTAAGTAAGATAACTTTATCTCTGGGGATTTTTCTTCCCACACCCGTAGAATATTAAATGGTGGATGGTTCAGCAAGTCTTATATTTTTTTGGGCAAAATAAGTACATTCTACCACTTAGACTTAAGATACCGTATTCGACATAATAAGCGCCCAAGGCGCTCTCAAAATGAGAAATAGGGGACTCTTATTAGAATATTATTTTGATGAAAAACAACAGGGTTAAAAGATCGTAAATTTCGTGGTTTATGCTGACAGCCTGAAATGTTTATATACGACAGATGTATTTTTCCAGAATCTAATTTCCCACAATTAGGGATGCATATAACACATGTATTATACATGAATAAATAAGTCTTTTGTATATTGATCTATCAGAAGGGGTGCTAATTGGGATTGTTCACTAGCCAATATATTAGGAAATATCGGCGTGGGCGCTTATTAGAGCGGGGCGCTTATTACGTCGAATACAGTATACAGACAGTAGTTAGATCAGGAAGAGACTTCAAGGGGAGATAACTCTGCCTTCCTTCTTTCCCAGCCTGAGGACAGCAATCAGTCAGATTCGGATGAGGAGCCGTGTCCCGAGGCTCTGGCACGGTACTTGGCCATGCGGCGCCACACGGTGGGCGTGGGGGACCCCCGGCACGAGGCGCCAGAAGACGCCAGGGTCAAGATGGCCCAGAACCAAGCACTCATTGCCACACCGCAGCCCAATTTCTTCATGCCGTTCACGACGTTCCCCAACACAAACCTCCCCCAGTACCTCCCCCCAGGCTCATCCCCCCTCCAGAACGTCTCCATCACCGATCACAACCTGCTGCAGCCTCCCATTCCATTAGGGCAAGGTACGTATTTGTGGTTTCATATGATATCAAGGTTGGTTGGTTGGTTGTTTGGTTACGTATTTGTGGTTTCATATGATATCAAGGTTGGTTGGTTGGTTGGTTGGTTGGTTGTTTAACGCCGCTTTCAGCAATATTCCACCTATATGACGGCGGTCTGTAAATAATCGAGTCTGGACCAGACAATCCAGTGATTAATATCATGAGCATCGATCCACGCAATTGGGATCGATAACATGCATCAACCAAGCCAGCGAGCCTGACCACCCGATCCTGTTGGTCGCCCTTTACGACAAGCATAGTCACCTTTTACAGCAAGCATGGGTTGCTGAAGACCTTTTCTACCCCGGAATCTTCACGGGTCTGATATCAAGGTAGTGTTATTCATATAATATGATTTTTAAGTGAGCCGTTACTTTAACCTTAACCTGCCTCTCATTGTCAGGTGAGCTCTTACTTTAACCTCCCTTTCATTCAGGTACATCCCAGATGGCTAGAAGAGCGTCTGACGGCGGTGCTAACATCCACCTCTTCTCCCAACACTTCCAACGTCAGATGTACTTTGATAGCCAACCAGGAAGTCATGAAGGGTTGTCTCCCTTGAGTCAGACAACATTGTCCCCGACAGGGTTGTCACCCCTGAGCCAGTCGACGCTGTCCCCTACGGGGATCCCACTGCCCACGCCGTCCCTGCAGAACTCCATCACAGTGGAGGAGGTGGAGGATGGTGGATCGGACCAGGAGCCAGATGCTGATGCTGTGTACAGGTGCGTGACTTTAGATAAAACTACAAACGTCTCTGATATCTACCGACATTCCACCCTGCATCTGGGGGCCCAGTCGTCTAAGGCGCAGCGATTCGCTGTGCAGAGTTGCGTCCCTTGGGTGCGCCAGAAACCTATGATTGTGAGTTCGAATCCCGATTCTCCTCAATTATGTTTCTAGGTTTGTCAGCACCATACCCGTGCTCGTGGGTTTCACTGAAGTGGTCACATCTGAGACCTGCATCACTTGGGGTTTCCTCCCACATCAAGCTGACACGCCGCGACATAACTGTAATACTGTTAAAAGCGGCGTTAAACCCAACTCACTCACTCACACACTCCACCCTACATCTTATGACAATATGCATATCAAAAGCTGGCACTCATCTGAACTTTTCTTTCAGATATTTAAACAATCGCGGATGGTCCAAGCGACACACGTTAGCGATGGCCAATCCGATGAATGAGATCCCTGAAGAGCTACAGCGGAAACTGTCTCTCCAGCCAATCCGACACCGGCGGGGCGGGGGCCTACTGTCCCCGACAGACCGCTCAAGTAGTGAGTTGATCACCACCATCAATGTTATTCTGACGTTTTAAGCATTAAATCACGATCTATATTAAAAATATGGAATTTCATGGATGCATAGTGCTAGGTTACGAGCTGTGACAAAGATTTCTTATGCATTCATTTTAGCATTAAAGACATCGTGTCCGAGCCGAGAAACCAAGGCGAGGAAAGCCGTGATGTCATTTGACTTAGGATTACACGCGATCGCACGACAAGATGGAAATAATAACTTAGATGTCAGTTTGGCAACTTTTAGATATATTTTTGTTGACATTATTTCTTTGTATAATATATTTGAAGATTTGCTTAAAACTTCTTTATTTTGCTGTTTGACATGTTCGATGAGGACCCGTTGTCGAAGTGTGTCCGAAAATTGTACTTTCAATTACATTGCTGGAAATAGTGAATTATTTTTTAATCTATCGATAAAAAATGATAAAATCAAATGGAATACGTATTTCGGATATTGTGAAATGCGATAGATTTAATAAATGAATGATATGACAAGTAGCTTATTAAAATTATAATCTATTTTCACGTGACTTGGTCAGTCTACCCTACGCGCGGTGTGACTCGTGGCTTCTTGACCGGCTAACAGTGTTGAAAGAGTTAAACTGGTCACCACTACGCTTAGCGTTGGCAAGCTTTGATGGTATTTGAAGGATCCCAGCCAGAAATATCAGAGTGACTTCCCTTTGCTTTACGCTCGACGAGGAAATGAAATTCTTTTTTTTTACTTTTTGACGAAAAGATCGGCGGTAATTAAAAAATGGGGTAATTTTCATTTTTATTTTGTTTTCAACATTTGGACTTTGAAAGAGCGGTGTATCCGTAAACCAAGAAATAGAAAAAAATGTCGCCTTACAGGAAACATGAGGGTTTTGTAAAGTTATGAAATGTTGTAGTGTACTGTTCTGTCGCCTCGGCACCACAATTCAGATAGTTGCTCACGTTGCCAATCACTGGATTGTTTGGTCCAGGGCCCAGTTCCACTAAGGTGGTCATAATTCCCATACTTTAACATAGATTAGCATAGATAGCACCAAGGTGATCGAATCTTGCATGTTTTAACATAGATTTGTGACAGTCCCAGCACCAAGGTGAACAAATCTTGCATGTTTTAACATAGATTTGTCACAGTCGCAGCACTAAGGTGATCGAATCTTGCATGTTTTAGCATAGATTTGTGACAGTCCCAGCACCAAGGTGATCGAATCTTGCATGTTTTAACAAAGATTTGTGACAGTCCCAGCACTAAGGTGATCGAATCTTGCATGTTTTAACAAAGATTTGTGACAGTCGCAGCACTTTGATTGCTTTGTGGAATAGGGCCCAGATAACTTGAAGACCTCTAGTGTTGAACAACTAACTACAAATGTAAGCAGACAACTGAATACCGTATTCGACATAATAAGCGCCAAGGGCGCTCTCAAAATTAGAAATAGGGGGCTCTTATTAGAATAAAATTTGGGTGAAAATAAGAGTTAAAAGATCGTAAATTTCGTGGTTTATGCTGACAGCCTGAAATGATACAAAAGAAAAGTCTGTTAGACACGACAGATATTTTTTTCCAGAATTTCATTGCCCATGATATGGGGTGCATATAACACACGAGGGCGTATTATACACGGATAAATAAGTCTTGTGTACATTGATCAATTGGAAGAGGTGCTTATTGGGACTGTTCACTGGCCAATATATTATCAAAAATCGCCGTGGGCGCTTATTAGAGCAGGGCGCTTATCACGTAGAATACGGTAGTCATCAAGTTGACAGCCTGTAGCCAACTTCCTACCATGCATTGTTTGCAGCACGGGACTCCTTCAAGGACATCACCTCACTCCACCTGCCCAACGAGCGCTTTTCCCCGGTGAGGCGTGCCAGCGAAGGCCTGGCCAACATGCCCAAGTACCAGCAAGTGCATCTGGAGAAGATCTTCAACCAGACCCTCGGGGCCCAGCAGCAGCAGCAGCAGCAGCAGCAGCAGGGGCAGGGGTCGAGACACAACAGTCAGAACAGTGTCAAGGCCATCCAGCAGGAGTGCCAAGAACTGCAGGTGGAGTATCAGGCGGGGGTGGTGGAGCGTCGGGGCAGGGGTGGTGGAGTGTCGGGGCAAGGGTGGTGGAGTGTTGGGGCAAGGGTCGTGGAGCGTTGGGGCAGGGGTGGTGGAGTATGGGGCAAGGGTGGTGGAGTATAGGGCAAGGGTGGTGGAGGGTTAGGGCAGGGGTGGTGGAGTATCGAGCAGGGGTGGTGGAATATAGGGCAGGGGTGGTGGAGTATAGGGCAGGGGTGGTGGAGTATAGGTGGAGTATAAGGCAGGGGTGGTGGAGTATAGGGCAGGGTTGGTGGAGTATAGGGCAGGGGTGGTGGAGTATAGGGCAAGGGTGGTGGAGTATAGGGCAGGGGTGGTGGAGTATAGGGCAAGGGTGGTGGAGTATCAGGGCAGGGGTTGTGGAGTATAGGGCAAGGGTGGTGGAGTATCAGGCGGGGGTGGTGGAGTATAGGGCAAGGGTGGTGGAGTATAGGGCAAGGGTGGTGGAGTATAGGGCAAGGGTGGTGGAGGGTTAGGGCAGGGGTGGTGGAGTATCGAGCAGGGGTGGTGGAATATAGGGCAGGGGTGGTGGAGTATAGGGCAGGGGTGGTGGAGTATAGGGCAAGGGTGGTGGAGTATCAAGCAGGGGTGGTGGAGTATAGGGCAGGGGTGGTGGAGTATAGGGCAGGGGTGGTGGAGTATAAGGCAGGGGTGGTGGAGTATAGGGCAGGGGTGGTGGAGTATCGAGCAGGGGTGGTGGAGTATAGGGCAGGGGTGGTGGAGTATGGGGCAGGGGTGGTGGGTTTTCGGTATAAGGAACGTCTTGGTCAGAAGTAACCAATGTTCTGGTTCCATCTAGGTGATTATGTTACTGATATGAGGAGGGCACAATGTTGAAGGAATAAGCATTGTTCTGAAAATCCAGGAAGAATATATTTATAAGCATTTCAATTTTTGGTGGGTGCTGAACATGATGATGATGATGTTGATGATGATGATGATGACAACGATGATGATGACAATGTTGATGATGATGATGATGATGATGATGTTTTCCTGGCAGAAACAAGCTGGTTCAGTGGATGTAGAAAAACAAGCAGAACTGCAGCAAAAACACACTATTTCCCGGTTTCAGCAATCTCTACAGGTGAGTCGGGTATTCCGTCCTTCATCCCTCACAGACATCACCCGGTGTAGCTCCTCTGTGTGAGGGGCAGGGGGGCAGGGGGGCAGGAGCCCGACATGTCCTGTTGATTTTTAACCTGTGTAAAACTGTTATTTGTATCCCTTTATATTTTTGTCACGATTTTGTTTCCTTCCTTTGATTTTGTTCAGTTTTCTTTTGAATTTTCTCATCTCACTTTAGACTCCAAAACACGGCGCTAAGTGACCGCAACAAATCTGCATGGAACGGTGTAGTGAGAGTTACCTCCTCTTGCAATTCCTGCTCTTCTTGATTCTGTGTTAACCTGGGCATCGGAAGCTGTCAAACCTGTAACTGGTTTTTGAGGCCAACTCAAATAATATATGATGCTAACTACAGCTGTTGAATCAAAGTAGACGTCTGTACCAAGTTAGTGATGAGAAAGATTGCGATTGCGATGACCCATTACTTCCAGGATATTGTTGCAAATGGGACGCGTGTTTTCAGCAGGATGACTGGAAATGTAATGCCCTGGATGGCCGAGGATGTCACAGAAATTTAACAGCTCAGGCTTAGACCATTGGGTTTTTGTCCTATCTTCCCGAGGCAAGAGAGTTAACTGTCTTTAAAAGTCCAGTTTCCACCCATGCCAAACAAGGCTGGTATTCCTGAGCTCAATCGAAAGCGCCGCCTGTGGCTGTTACGAGTTATGTTCCTTCTATGTCCCTCCTATGGACCAATCAGATTCCACCTCTTGTATCACTTGCATTGGCTTTAAACAAAATGGCGGCGCACAATCAAGACAATCTGATCGATATCAAGATCTATATTGTGATAAAACGAGTCTTACATCGTGAATTACATCAAATCACACAAGCACCTTGATTTAAAGCATGAAAGGATTTAAAAATGTCTGTTGACAACGAGATGGCGGTGCACTTGCATTGCAAATTCTGCAATCGACCCAAATCTGGGCGACAGTTTACGAGACGGATTTCCATTTTGTTGCATGATTTTGATTGGACTATACATAGACTCGTTAGTCCAGCCAAAATGTAACTCCATAATACCAGCCTAGTTCGGCAAGGGTGGAAACTGCACTTTTATAGTCAGTTAACTCACATTGCCTTGGAAAGATGGGTTTGCCCCAGACACAGAAGATTGATGATTTTGTTATGCGAATGAATCTGCCTAAAATAAGAGAACCTTTCCCCGTACTAATCAGGACATCACATTTCAACTGTTGCAGTTGCAGATTTGACAGCTTTCATTCTTGCCTCCCCAAGACCTGTAGACGTGACCTGTACTCACCTCCCACAATATACCTCGTAGAGTAGAACGCATGTTATCAGTTGTCACAGTATCACTCGGGGTACAAGAGTCCTGTGTCGGGGTTTATGCCACAAACCGGAGGCAAGTAACGTGGGAAGCATAAAACCCCATGTACCCTTACCAACATGTTTTATCTGACATTGTCAAAGAATTAAAACAAAAAATTCAAAATTGATAGAAAACAGTTGTTCGATTGAGCTTGAGGTTAACTTGCGCTATCTCACGTGACTTCTATTGACTCAGAAAAAGCTTGCAGCTTTTTGCTTTGAAGCGGGGTATAAGGGATTTATTCTGTCTCTCGGAAATTCACGTGCAGCCTGTTTTGCTCGTGGCAGGGTAAAAGAGATAATTATTACCCTCCAAGGCGGGTTACACAGTGTTTTATTAAGATCACGTGTCAAGATCTGACATGGAGGTATGATGAAAAAGTATATAGCATCTTCAGGCTGTTCTAGTGTGACAGTCTTGTAATGTGAGAGTCTTCTAGTGTGACAGTCTTCTAGTGTGACAGTCTTCTCAAGTGTCACACACAGTCTTGTAATGTGACAGTCTTCTAGTGTGACAGTCTTCTAGTGTGACAGTCTTCTAGTGTGACAGTCTTCTCTAGTGTCACACACAGTCTTCTAATGTAACAGTCTTGTCCAGTGTGACAGTTTCCTCCAGTGTGACAGTCTTCTCCAGTGTGACAGTTTCCTCAAGTTTGACAGTTTCCTCCAGTGTGACAGTCTTGTCCAGTGTGACAGTCTTGTCCAGTGTCACAGTTTCCTCAAGTGTGACAGTCTGGTCTAGTGTGTTTTTTTACCCTTGGAGGTCAATTTTAAAGCAAACTCAGAAAAAGTCCAAATGTCAGGCGAGGAGAAGGATAGTGGTCCAGTGTGACAGTCTTCTCTAGTGTCACACACAGTCTTCTAATGTAACAGTCTTGTCCAGTGTGACAGTTTCCTCCAGTGTGACAGTCTTACCCAGTGTGACAGTTTCCTCCAGTGTGACAGTCTTGTCCAGTGTGACAGTCTTACCCAGTGTGACAGTTTCCTCCAGTGTGACAGTCTTGTCCAGTGTGACAGTCTTCCAGTGTGACAGTTTCCTCCAGTGTGACAGTCTTCTCCAGTGTGACAGTTTTCTCCAGTGTGACAGTCTTGTCCAGTGTGAGAGTTTCCTCCAGTGTGACAGTCTTGTCTAGTGTGACAGTCTTCTCCAGTGTGACAGTCTTCTAATGTGAGTCTTGTCCAGTGTGACAGTCTTGTCCAGTGAGTTTCCTCCAGTGTGACAGTTTCCCCCAGTGTGACAGTCTTCTAGTGTGACAGTCTTCTTTAGTGACTGTCTTCTAGTGTGACAGTCTTCTAATGTGAGTCTTGTCCAGTGTGACAGTTTCCTCCGGTGTGACAGTTTCCTCCGGTGTGACAGTCTTGTCCAGTGTGACAGTCTTGTCCAGTGTGACAGTTTCCTCCAGTGTGACAGTCTTGTCCAGTGTGACAGTTTCCTCCAGTGTGACAGTTTCCTCCGGTGTGACAGTCTTGTCCAGTGTGACAGTTTCCTCCAGTGTGACAGTCTTGTCCAGTGTGACAGTTTCCTCCAGTGTGACAGTCTTCTCCAGTGTGACAGTCTTGTCTAGTGTGACAGTCTTGTCCAGTGTGACAGTTTTCTCCAGTGTCACAGTCTTGTCCAGTGTCACAGTTTCCTCAAGTGTGACAGTCTTGTCTAGTGTGTTCCTCCAGTGTGACAGTCTTCTGGTGTGACAGTCTTCTAGTGTGACAGTCTTCTAGTGTGATAGTCTTCTCTAGTGTGACAGTCTTCTAGTGTGACAGTCTTCTAGTGTGATAGTCTTCTCTAGTGTGACAGTCTTTTTGTGTGACAGTCTTCTAATGTGACAGTCTTGTCCAGTGTGACAGTCTTGTCCAGTGTGACAGTCTTCCAGTGTGACAGTCTTCTAATGTGAGTCTTGTCCAGTGTGACAGTCTTGTCCAGTGTGACAGTTTCCTCCAGTGTGACAGTCTTGTCCAGTGTCACAGTTTTCTCCAGTGTCACAGTCTTGTCTAGTGTGTTTTTTTTACCCTTGGAGGTCAATTTTAAAGCAAACTCAGAAAAAGTCCAAATGTCAGGCGAGGAGAAGGATAGTGGGTATAGGGTGTCCTGTATGGCTGACATGTCTATGTTGTGGACTACCTCCCACTGACAGTGTGCTTTCTCTACATCAACCCTGGACCTCTATCCTGTCTTCCGTTGTTTGAAATGTAGCTTTGTGTTGTCTGTCAGTAAAAACTAGGGGTGCCACGATAAATCAAACTATCGATATATTGCTATTGGTTAGCACTTAAAGTCAATAAATCGATTATTAAATCAGTTTCCGATCAATAATATCAATTTCAGTTAGGAATATCGATAGTTTCGATTGCATTTACCATATCAATAAAATACATGCAATGCTTTTCAAAATTTTTATTTTTTTTATCATGAGTGGTAGTAATTTACACATGGTAATGTGAAAGTTTCTTTTTCTTAAATTATTTGGGTAAAGAAAAAACAAATCAGTCATATCTCAAAGTTTACTTTTTATTTGTTGTTGTGGTCATCACATTCAAAGGAAACTTCAGTTCCAAGGTTTAATTCAACTCTAAAATCCATCTAAATGATTCACTGAAAACTATCAATACTTATCGCAATAGTTGCTTGCAATATCAATAGTTATCGCAATAGTGATTTCCAGACCAATAGTCACCCCTAGTAAAAACACCCGTGAAACCTGTAAATGTGAATGCTTAAGAAATTGTTTTTATCTCAAACTGGTACTAATAACTTTCAGTGTAGTTTGCAAGGAATAACTTATCTTTCTCTTTTGTGATTGTTTTCACGGACTAGTTGGGACGGTGCCGCAGATGATGATGATGTGATGATGGTGATGGTGGTGATGATGATGATGATGATGGTGATGTGATGATGGTGATGTGATGATGGTGATTGTGATGATGGTGATGTGATGATGGTGATGTGATGATGGTGATTGTGATGATGGTGATGTGATGATGGTGGTGATGATGATGGTGATGATGTGATGGTGATGATGATGATGGTGACTTTCTGTTTCAGACTACATCCACTCTGCAGAGATCTCCCGTGCCTTCCCCACCTCTCCCAGCATCCCCCAGTTTCCAGCGGCAACAAGTCACATCAGATGTGTTGCCTGGCAACTTGTATCAGCACCTTCAGCGACTGCACTTACAGCAGATCCAGACATCGAGTGCCTCTTCCCCATTCAGCCGAGCCTCGCCCCCGACCTTGACTTCTGTCCTGCCACCGTCTCAGCGCTCCGAGTCCCCCACCCCGACCTACACCCACCTGCTCCAGAACTACCCCCAGACCCACCAGCGTAGCAGCTCGCCCCCAAACTTCCAGAATCTCCACATGATCCGAGAGGACGCGGGGGACGCTGCCGAACCCATGAGGACGGAAGAAGAGGACATGTTTGTAGATACGACAGCAAGCAGCGAAAAAAATGCACAGGAAGTGAGACACAGACAGTTTGCGGGGAAACCGCAGATCAGCATCACTGATACACAAGGTCATGTGACCGATGTGACGAACGAAGACGATGAGCGTGTTTTAGATAGAACGAATGTGCCAAAGACTGTGGCTTCCGGAGCCTCAGGAGTATCATCAGGGGTCGGAGCCAGTCCACTGCAGTCACCTATGACCTCCGACCCCATTCAAACAGGTCAGCATCCCCGGCAACCCGGTGCCCCTACCTATCCCTTGTATCTGTTTAATAACTATGTAAATACAAACCTGGCCGGCATCCAGCCGCCATTGTTCCCACCTGAGGATGCGGCTGCGGAGATGGGCGTGGTCAACTTGTGCAACTCCCAGTTCATCCTCAACAGCTCCCGCCTCCACCGAACCAACCAGTCACGGTTCCGGCGCCATCACACCCTCCACGACGCCCGTGACCCATTCTTCCAGTACACCCTTCAAAACACGCCCCTCATTAACACAGACTCTATACCTCGAGGTCACAGCTTCGACCAGGCCGACCTCCAGTCGAGGACGGTCCTCGATCTCTCCCCCCAACACAAGGCCGCTCACATCACCCACTCCCACAGCCAGGAGAATGTAGTGTCGGCGCCGGTCAATGGCTGCTATTTCTCCTCCCCATCACCGATAAGCATAGACTCTTCCAAGGTAGTCATCCACATCAACCCCGACTTGCACAAAACTGTTGACGATGTGTTGTCTGCCATCAAAAACATGTTAGATACTCGATGTCCGGACGTGGACTATCACTGCTCGCAGAACTTGTTCCGTCTCCAGAACGCAGACGTCCAGGTGGAGCTGGAGATATGTGACGGGGACGTTCCCGGGGTGCAGGTCCGGAAGCTGTCCGGGGACAGTGTCCAGTACTCCCGCCTCTGTCATGATCTGCTCTCCTGCATGAATAATTAAGTCATTACTGTCCAAACTCTCTGTCACAGTCACATGTAGGCAGCTGTGTGTGTAGGTTGTATAGGCTATCAGTTCCCAAAGAGGGGCAGGTCAGCTGAAATTGCTGAGGCAAACGGTGACCTCGTAAACTCTTACAGCAGCAACAACAATAGGCTATTATGTCACAACCACACAGCTATGTGTAACAGGACGAAGAAATAGGAAGAGGTCTAAGTGCTTAGTTTTATATCATTATGTGGAATACAATCTCAAAATACAGTGTTTAAATATCTCTGAATTTCAGAAAAGAAGTTACATGCAGTCAAACCTCATTGTGTCGAGCTTGGATGTGTTGAATTTACGGTGTTCTTGAACTCATTTAGGAGTCAAAAGTATCTAAATTAAGTGTGAAATTCCACTGATGTCTCGAACCCTGTATAACTAGAATTTTTCCCAGGTCTCCACGAGTTCAACACAATGAGGTTCGACTCTATTAAAAAAGTAACTTTGAGAAATCACATTTTGAACATTTCTGGTGCCTCCGCGCTGATAGAGATTGAATATTGCTAAAAGCGGGGAAAAACAATACTCACTCACTCACTCAATGTGACAATGTTATAGGGCATAGCAGTGATTGTTTTCTGTCGCTAACAGTAACGTGCTGTTTTACTAAGAGAGCAATAATGCATGTCATGTTGGATATCACACTGCTGCTTGTCTTTCAAGTATTGCTATGTGTTCGTTTGTAGGGCAAATAATATTTCTATCTTAAACATTTATTTTCTTTTTTAAATTATTTAATTTTTTTTTTTTAACCTGTCGGCCACTTCAGTGTAGTTAATTTTGTGTGGATTCATATTTTGACATATTTTAAAATATTTATGTGAAACAAAATAATTGTGTCAAGTAACCTGTGGGACCTGTAACCTGTGACCATGTCCGATATCTATCCATGGTCAGGGCTGGTGATGATCTGTGATGGTTTGAAGCTGTGTATACTGCATGCTGTGACCATGTCCGATATCTATCCATGGTCAGGGCTGGTGATGATCTGTGATGGTTTGAAGCTGTGTATACTGCATGCTGTGACTGTGGCAGGGAGAGTCTTTGTGTTTTTGCCAATGTTAAAAGTCTGGCCTGTAGACAAGCCTCTCTTTTTAAAAATTGTCTTGAAGTGACACGGTTGATTTTTGTTTGAGGGTGACAATTTTATATTGGGAGGGTTGTAATATTTTTAATAACTATTTTTGTCCCTTTGGGGAAAAGATTCACTTATCCCCCGGTTTTACAAACATTTTAATCAATCACCGGACATGTGAAATGTCCAGATAAGTACTGTTTTGTGGGTACAAACAAGTGTTTAGTTCCTCCTTTCAAACCCGTATTCGACGTAATGAGCGCTCAGGGTGCTCTCAAAATTAGAAATAGGGGGCTGTTATTCAAATATAATTTTGGTGAGAAAAAAAACAGAGTTGAAAGATCGTAAATTTCAGGGTTCATGCTGAAAGCATGAAATGATACGAAAGAAAAGTCTGTGCATTTTATACACGACAGATATATTTTCCAGAATTTAATTGCCAATAATTAAGGGTGCATATAACACACCAGTGCGTATTATACACGAATAAACAAGTCTTGTGTACATTGATCAATCGGAAGGGGTGCTAATTGGGATTGTTCACTAGCCAATATATTAGCAAATATCGCCGTGGGCGATTATTAGAGCGGGGCGCTTATTACGTCAAATCCGGTATGTCTTGAAGCGCTGAGTGATGACAGTCTGTCCCAGGGAACTGACTTTAAAAAGGGTAAATGATACTTACACATGCACCTCACAGGTCCAAGGTGTCAAGACTGAACTTTTCAGAAAGTTTGACCTACAATTGTCTGTTATTGATCATCAATAATCAACCATGTCTCTCCAGACAATGGGGACACCTACAGGCGGAATGTAGACATGCCAATGTTTAGCATGACTAGAGCAAAGAGAGTTGAATATTGAGTTGTTGTATTCAGTGGAGATTTGATATATCTCAGGGTTTTTTCTTTTAATGCTTTACAGATGCTTTGACCCAAAATGCTGAGAAAATTTGTAAAAAAATTATAACTATCATTTTGAAAAAAAATATTTTGATCACTGCCGACCTGAAGCACATTCGTGTTAGAATAAAATATGTATTGATAGAATCATGCAATGCACTAACAAGACAACTTCGCTATCAAAACTTTCCACTTTGCAGAAGGTAGCTTCTGCCCTGATTTATGAGGAAATGCAGTGTTGATAGTTAGGGGACATAAGTCCAGACCTCATAGACGGGCAAGCATGTCAGGGTTATAGTTATGAATCTCAATGCTTTCAATTTTTCTACAAATTGGAACTGAATAAAACTGACAGAAAATGTAAACAGGACAAGCTACAAACTTTGCATCTTCCTGAGGCAAGAGAGTTAACTGACTATAAAAGTCCTGTTTCCACCCTTGCCGAACTAGGCTGGTATTATGGAGTTACATTGTGGCTGGACTAACGAGTCTATGCATAGTCCAATCAAAATCGCGCACCGAAATCCGGTTTGTAAACTGTCGTGCAGATTTCGGTCAATTGCAGGCTTTGCAAAGCATGTGCACCGCAGTCTCATCAGCAGATATTTTCCAAATCTTTTCATGTTTTTAATCAAGGTGCTCACGTGATTTGATGCATTTCGCGATGCAATATAGATCTTGATTATCGATCAGATCGTCCTGACTGGGCGCCACCATTTTGTGTAAAGCAAACGCAAGTGATGGAATCTGATTGGTCCATAGGATAGGCTTAAAAGGGACATAACTGGTAATAGCCACTGGTGGCGCTACGATCGAGCCCAGTAATTCCTGCCTAGTTTGGCAAGGGTGGAAACTGGACCTTTACAGTCAGCTAACTCCCTTGCCTCGGGAAAATGCAAACTTTGAGGACTGGTGAAATAATGTTCTCACTAGTTCTCAGGGGTATTCTTAAAAAAATTACATGTCTTAGGCTGCCATTGAACTAATATGAATCAGAACGGTGTTTACCTGGCTAACTCACTCACTCTCTCAGGAATTCATTATCCCGACCATTTTAATTATTTTAATTATCACTGGATTGTCTGGTCCAGACTTGATTATTTACAGACCGCCGTCATATAGCTGGAATATTGCTGAGTGCAGCGTTAAATAACAAGCAAACAATGGCAGTGTTAAAGAAGGGAGACAACTCAGTTTCAACATTACTGAAGGGAGACAACTCAGTTTCAACTCTTTTTGAAGGGAAGACAAAGACATGTCTATTTCATTCACTGTGACTCCCTCACCTGGCCCCGCCCATACCAATGTCAGAGCACTCCCAGCTTGTATTGGCTGGTGTTTTATATATATACATATATATATTTACATATATTTAATTGTTCTATAAGACTCCACGGTGCAGTTGTTTGCGACCGATGTTTGTCACGATACTGGATGACGTTGAACAGGGTGAGATGAATGTTTACTATGACGTTCAGTTGTTTCTTTCTATCCCGTTTATCCACAAGCCAACATAGGATAAATATTGATTTCATAGTTTTAATTTTTAAATATTTGCGATTTGATTATTTACAATTTGCTGTTTTATTCGATTCTTGACTTTGTGACAGAATGACATGGCCTGTTGTTTGTGTATTGGGCCGAGAGACAGAGAATCAGGTGTCTACTGGGGCTGAATGAGAAGAAAAGAAAACGGGTGGCGTGAGAGGATGGTCAGAGAGAGAGAAGGAGTGGTCAGAGAGAGAGGGTGTGGCCAGTGATAGAGGACGGGTGTCAGTGAGAGGTGTGGTCAGTGAGAGAGAAGGAATGGTCACAGAGAGAGGACGTGTGGCCAGTGAGAGAAGGAGTGGTCAGTGAGAGAGGACGGGTGTCAGTGAGAGGTGTGGTCAGTGAGAGAGAAGGAATGGTCACAGAGAGAGGACGTGTGGCCATTGAGAAAAGGAGTGGTTAGATAGAGAGGAGGTGTGGCCAGTGACGAAAGGAGTGGTTAGATAGAGAGGAGGTGTGGCCAGTGACGAAAGGAGTGGTTAGATAGAGAGGAGGTGTGGCCAGTGAGAGAAGTAGTGGTCAGTGAGAGAGGAGGGGTGGTCATTGAGAGAGAAGGAGTGGTTAGAGAGAGGAGTGGTCAGAGAGAGAAGGAGTGGTCAGTGAGAGTAGGAGTGGTCAGTGAGAGAATGTGTGGTCAGTTAGGTGTGACCAGTAAGATCAGTTCTCATCTGTTATGTCACTTGTAAGCACATGCTGTGAATTGAAAATGTGGCTGATTTCATTTCTGTTTTGATAAATCTGTGTACGTACTGTGTGTGTGGTTGTCTCATCGTGTGCCATATGTCAGGGTGCCATCAGTGAGGTGCTCACATTCAGCTGACAATTTCTTTCACTCACTTTAGGAGTTTCTTACTCCAGTTTTGAGGAGGGTGTTATTTATAAACAGTTTAGGGTCACAATTGAATGTGTGGCGAAACAAAAACACAAGCGGTGAACTTAAGTGGTGTCCAAGCAAGTCCCCCTTCAACTGAACCTAGGTGGATTCCAAGCAAGTCCCCCTTAAACTGATCTTAATTTGATTCCAAGCATGTCCCCCAAACTGATCTTATATGGATTCCAAGGAATTTCCCCTTAAACTGAACTTCAGTGGAGTCGAGACAAGTCCCCCATTAAACTGAACCTAATTGGATTCCAAGCATGTCCCCCTTAAACTGAACTTAAGTGGATTCCAAGCATGTCCCCCTTAAACTGAACTTAAGTGGATTCCAAGCATGTCCCCCTTAAACTGAACTTAAGTGGATTCCAAGCAAGTTCCCCTTAAACTGAACTTAAGTGGATTCCAAGCAATTCCCCTTAAACTGAACTTAAGTGGATTCCAAGCAAGTTCCCCTTAAACTGAACTTAAGTGGATTCCAAGCAAGTTCCCCTTCAACTGAACTTAAGTGGATTCCAAGCATGTCCCCCTTAAACTGAACTTAAGTGGATTCCAAGCATGTCCCCCTTAAACTGAACTTAAGTGGATTCCAAGCAAGTTCCCCTTCAACTGAACTTAAGTGGATTCCAAGCATGTCCCCCTTAAACTGAACTTAAGTGGATTCCAAGCATGTCCCTCTTAAACTGAACTTAAGTGGATTCCAAGCAATTCCCCTTTTCCCCGAACATAAGTGGATTCCAAGCATGTCCCCCTTAAACTGAACTGAAGTGGATTCCAAGCAAGTTCCCCTTTAAACTGAACTTAAGTGGATTCCAAGCATGTCCCTCTTAAACTGAACTTAAGTGGATTCCAAGCAATTCCCCTTTTCCCCGAACATAAGTGGATTCCAAGCATGTCCCCCTTAAACTGAACTTAAGTGGATTCCAAGCAAGTTCCCCTTTAAACTGAACTTAAGTGGATTCCAAGCATGTCCCTCTTAAACTGAACTTAAGTGGATTCCAAGCAATTCCCCTTTTCCCCGAACATAAGTGGAGCTGTTAAAGTAGTGTGGGTTGTGGGGGACCCGTGTCCAGAGTTGTCCTCTGCTGCATCACCATTCTTAACTCAATCAAAGAAATAGAATTTTGCTTTCATGCAGTTTAACCGTTTTCGGGTCTTTTTGTTTCATTTTTTAAATCAGTCATGGTCCTGTTTGTCACTGTTATCTGTAAGTTCAGTACCTTTTGTATGCATACTTTAATTCTCAATCTACCATTCCATTCAGTGCAGTGTCACGAACAGGCTACATGTCATGAACAGGAGGGTGACAGCAGGTGCCCAGTACTACTGCTTGTCTAGAGCGCCCACTCACTCACTCACTCACTCACTCACTCACTCACTCACTCACTCACTCACTCACTCACTCACTCACTCACTCACTCACTCACTCACTCACTCACTCACTCACTCACTCACTCACTCACTCACTCAGCTAAACCTGGCCATGCTCACCTCCTGGATAATTTCCTACAGACAACATATATTTGGGCCAAAGGGTTGAGGGGGAGGGGGGGTAGGGCTTATTCGTATCTTTGTGTTTCCAAGTTTGTCAACTTCATCCTTGCTTTAAGCAAATACCCGGTAAATTATTTTTTTGTGGTTCTGATGCTTTCTTTCTAGCTGTGTTTAGGCCTGGTATATTGTCATCAAAGTGCTATGACATCAAAATTGGGGATTGTGTCATACTCAAATGGATACAGAATGCGTTTCTGTTACAGTGATGGCATTTTTTCTTAGTATTTATAAGTGAGTTATGAGACATGGATATCGAAATATGCTTGAAGTTATGTCGATGGCATGACGCTGTTGTGTGATCCTGTACTTGTCAGTGAAGATGGTCAGTCAGTGAGAGCAAGAAGTCTGTGGGTGTCTGTTAGCATGTACCCACCGGCAGACCTGCTGTCGAAGACTCACCAGGGGATATCCCGGTGTGGCCTGCGAAAGTTCTTTTTTTTAAAAAAGGAATCTGTTCCTAATATCCTAAATAAATTAAAATAATTGTTCCAAGAGCAATATTATTTTTATTTTACCACTTATTCAAAAATCATGCAAACAAAACTCTAACCTCCCCCCCACCCCACCACCCACCCACCCCACACACACACATACACACAAGCATACTAAATAGTCACTCCCTTCTTGATTTTTAAAAAAATTATAAAAATTCATACATAAAATGTACTTACTAAGAAGATTTTCAGCCTAAAAAATTCTAATTCAAGTTCAAGTCCTGTGTGTGGCTTTCATTCTCAATCTTTGATGAGCTGAAAGAAATGTTGAGATGCATCTTTCTCCTTGCTGGTCGACATTGAAAGTGGTTTGTTGTATAGACACAGAAGCCATGTGCAGACGATCAGCGTAATTTATCATACAAAATAGGTCTGCGTCAGTTTCTAGGATAACGCTCACTCGTTCCCTATTATATATCAGAATGACCACCGAATACATTATTTTACTGTATTGTTTGATTGGAATTCAGTTTTAAGGTGAATATAGTACTGTACAATGAGAACTGATGACCAACTGAATCATTGAATCATTTTCTCACCATTGTAGGGGTTTTATGTTTTATGATAACAAGAATCATGTTAAATTCAAGGTCACAAGAAGTACGAAACTGCTGCCATTGCTAACTAACGACTTCGCCTGTTGCAGGGGAGACAACTATGTCGTACTTACTGTGTTAATGAACTGTCGCGTGTGGACATCTAGTGTGTCTTGTTGTTATACATAAGTGTGATTTTGTCAGAATATACTGCTCAGCATATGATAGGGACAGGGCGCATCCAAGAGGGGTCTGTGTGAGTTGTTGCTCCAATATGTTGTTACACGAATAGTATTCAAAATTTGCCTCAGAACTGAAACCTGTGCAACTTGATTAAGCATAGATACAAAGTTCACTAAGTTGTCGTCGCGTTATGTCACATTGTGAAAAATCTGGGTTTCCCTGTCAACTGTTGAGTAGTATATTAGTGGCTTTGGTATGTC